GCAAATAGACGTAATTCCACGTACTTTTGAGGTCGGTTTTTTTAGTACTCTGTACTGAGATTATTATAGTGTAAAATATCTTAATAGATAGAACGTCAACATAAAATCTCTTGTCTTTCTCTTAAAATTCACTATGCTATCATAGAATTGTTAAACCTCGATTTGATCAAAGCGCTGCAAAATAGTGGAAAGGAAAAAAAAGTCATCTTTATTAAGATAAAGACAAGAAAAAATTAATTCAAGTTAACAACATTATCATGTCTTTAAAAAAATAGATCCAATCGATATTGCCATTACGTTCATAAGGCAATGTTAAATGTAAACTGTTATATCTGGGGCCTTAGTGTAAGTTTACAAATATGTCAAATTAACTATTGCGTTTGCGTTAAGATTTTAAGCAACACGTATGGATATATAATTAAGATTTAAATAAAAATCGTACCACAGACGCGGTAGTTAAGTTTGAATGATTACACACACTCACGCCTCAGGTAACAAAATATGATATATTTTATCTCGAAATTATAACGAATCAATTTCTTCTATTGACAAATTGTCGGTAGAAGTAATTAATCTCAACTATCAATATAAATGCGAAAGTAACCCTTTCTGTTACATTTTAATACCTAAATCGCTGAACCATTATAGATAGACTGGTATAGAGATAGATGGGACGTAAGAGAAGTATATGGGCTACTTTTGCTCACAGAGGGGATGAAAGTTTGTTTGGAGAACCAATCATTTGTCAAGTAAGGATCTGAAAATTTGTAAGTATAACTTTTGTGAGAAATAAACCATGTTCAAGGTAAAATAAGGGGATGATTTGAATATTTTTTTTATAAAGTACTTATTAACTTACCCACCTACATAAATTTTGATGAAAACTAGTAGTAGTATAGCGCAGTTGGCTACTCGATGTAGTTACTCTACGCAGACTAAGTCACCAGCTAGTTAAACATAAATGCCTCGACAATGATTCCGTCAACGAAGAACGGCAGGTCTCCGCTTCGCGTTCATATATCAAAAACTTGGGTACAGACTGTCTTTTTGAAGACGGAGTAAAATGACAGTTCATTGTGCAAAAGTGTTGCAAGCTTGCAAGTAGCTAGTAGTCGATAAATATTGTATCGACTATCGACTAAACATTGGTTACACTTATGAAATAAATAGTCGAAATTATTTCATTTGATTCATCACCGGCCCATTATACGTCCAACTGAACATTTGACATTTGAATAGTTGATTTTTGAAAATTCATTCACACATACACTAAACTTTGAAGTATATGTATTAAAAATACAAGTAGGATACATAATGTAAAGATTTTCATTTAAATTTAATGTACATAATCAAATCCGCCTGTTGATATTAAAATGTGTATGAATAAAAATCGATTTTGATACTAATAGACTAACTGTGAAAATAAGAATAAAGAAAACAATACCGCAATTAGTAACCATTAGAACTTCGTAACACTCGCAATTCAGTCATTTTTGGCAAAATTTTACCTACGTTCACAATCTATCTATAAAACTGTCGACAAACTACTACATGACTATTTATAATTATACGAAAACTGGCAACCCTGCAAATGTCATCTTTAAAAAGACAGACTATAGATAGGAAAGTTCACCTTAAAACTTAATATTAGAAGCGACTTGTTACCGGTTTAGTGTTTCTCAGTAATATTTATGATCTGGAGAATGCTGCGTGCGTGCCGCGTGCGCGCTGCACGCACGCTATACTCATGCATTTAAGTGCGTCTCTGGGTGTTCGTCTTTTTCTACAAAAAAAGACGAATAACTTAGAAGCTTAGACTGCAGAAAATAGTTCCGCAGAATTCTACGTAAGACTTTTTTGATTACTAAGTATACAGTTCGCAATATTTGTTTGATATTGAGTCACGATAATGGAATTTCTGCCTATTGTGGTAGGCGCACTTCTGGCTCCCAAAAAACGATCTTCTTTCTTTTGATCTAAATACGTAATACACTTCTTTTGATTAAAATTTGTATAAAGCATTTCGTGAACACAATGAGTTAAGTAAGTTGTTTTATTCCAAGAAATATGCTAAGTAAGATATTATGCCTCTAAAGGTAATAAATAAGTAGATACTTATACGTTTTAAGTTTTTGTAAATAATATTGTACAGTGTACAAAACTACTATTTTTATGGACATTCCTAAATAACGTACTCTTGTTATGTAGATTCCTAATACCGTATAATTTTCAATTATTATGAGTCACATCATCTGTCTATGATACTTTTTTGAGGTTCATAATTTATGTTCAGCCTGAATAAGAACGACCTCATTTCCCAGTTTAGAGATGAGTTGAAATTGCTTTCATCGCCGCAGATACGCTCACCTTCCGTGTTTCCTCTACAAATCTCATTTGTTCCACTCGTATCAGTGTTTTCATATATCTCCGTTTATTCTTGGTATTTTTGAATTGGTCATCCTTAAGGCGAGGTATTTCAACGCCAGTCTAGATTTTGGGAGGTGAGGCGCATGGGGTCGAGAGTCGCGTCTCGCAATCCGCGCGCTGTAAAGTTTGCGATTTAAAGCTCATGACTGGCACTGCATTTGTTATGTACAGGCGTGTAGCTTACCATCAGGTGTACGACTTGTTCGTCCCGTCACTTGATATTAGAAAAAATACATTTCTTCTTCTACTTTTCAGTGTTATGGCCTCATCGAAATAATCTATGATTTCGCCAATGTCAAGTAAAAATTACTATGTACGGTAATTTTGTAAAAATAATATAAAAGTTATGGCGGACGACGCCATTAAAAGGCCAGTACCTCCCACAAACTCAATGTTATTTTATTGTATGTACTATTTTTCTTTACTATATTTGTTTTTAATACAATTTGATACATTTCGCCTTCTTTTTGCGACTGAGGTGAATTATTTATAAACATTCTACTGAGGAGTAGTCTGACAGACAGACGTACATTATCTTTGTCGTTAATTCATAGCTTTTCGGAATCGTTTGTCTTCAAAATATATGTATACAGTCATTGAAATGTAATAAGTCCATACTTGTATAAATAATGTTATTAACATACGCTTTTATAAGAAAAATTATTTATTATTAATGTTAGTGACATCAAGGCACTTAAGGCCATAGCCATGTTGTAAATTTTTATAAAAAAATATTTAAAAAATCAACAACATTAACTTAAGTTTGCAGTCTTCCGGCTTAAAATAAAATAATATAGAAAACAATAGGAAAATGTTTAGAGTAGTTTTTTTCTATCAGCTTTAAAGTTCAGATTTACAATTTACACAAACACAAATTGTTTTTTTTTGTAAATATAACATGAAAATTTCGTTTACTGCTTCAATTCTTGGACATATACGGCATTACTTCCTTCTAGATAATGGCTTAGGTACTGTTGGTGGTCTTGGAGCAGAGTAAGTGATGATGTCTTACTGAGGTGACGGCTGCTAGACATATAGCATAATTATTTTACTGACCTGACGTCTAAGAGACAGTATAACAATATAATTATTTTACTGACAATACTTCTACCAGACCCATCAATAAGTACTAACGTTACGTCTCGTAGACAGCTAATAGTCGTCGTTTCTCAAGTATAATAGCCGCGGCGGCTCTTCCTGTACTGACCGGTAGCGGACATCGACGCAGGAAGGTACTGAGCGAGACAGAACGATATCGACGAAACAACCAAACTGCAACACCGCATAGTTTTTGCAGTGTC